TCGGGAAGATCTTGTGTTACCTAACAGATCAAAAAGTAAGAGATTACAAGATTAAAAGACAAATAATGTAGTTTCTGATTTTCCATCAACTGGAGTACCTACTTACGTTAAAAAAATTAGTTTACTTTACGACGTTTTCCTTATGTAGGAGAACTTAGCGCATATCCTATAATTGCAACATAATGCTTATTGATGAATAAACAAAGATAATAGTAAATAATTTTTTGGAGAGTTCTGAGAGCAGATTGCAATCAGCAAGTACGATTTTAATGCATAACTTACATTTTATGCCTAACACAGTTTTGTTGTCAAAACGACTTGGCTTTTAATAATTTGAGAAATAGCAAAGATGCCTAGCGACGTTTTAAAATTTGTTGCGTTGTGGGCAGAAGATTTAGCAGAAAGAAATTACTCAACGATCGCGTCAATTAAATCTGCGTATAATATAAATTACGACGATTTCTAGTAATTAATGAAAATGAAACGAATTTTATCATCTCAAGGATTCTTTTTATATAAAAAATGCAATGCCAAAAGAGTACGACCACGCTTACAATCGTTGATTATTTAATATTACGGCATAAAGTAGTAGTAGCAAATGGGAGATTTAACACCAACTTAAATAAAATGGTATACTATACCGATGCGGTGAAAGTTTCCAAACTGAGCCCGGGTTGAGGGCCACACCTTCGCAAGTACTATATAAACATTGTAGCCCCAGTAAAGCTCACACAAATCATAGGCCGTTGTACAAAACGCAACATGGCAATTAAAGTGAGTAAAATTGTTAAGTGATAAGTGCGTACGATTTGTATGGATTTAATTTTAATTATAGCACGACGTGCAAAAGGAATATATTTCTAATATTTAGTTTTTCGGTTTCAGTTAGTAATCATTGCCGCTTTGGCAACCATCGCTCGTGCTGGAGCACCCTATGGATACGCAGCAGCCCCAGCTGCATACGCCGCTCACGCGCTTCCATACGGATACGCCGCTCCCGCATATGCAAAAATTGCGGCGCCTGTTTCATACGCAGCACCAGCTTTGTCTTACGCCGCCGCCCCAGCCGTGTCCTATGCACACGCTCCAGCTGTATCCTACGCCGCTGCCGCTCCAGCAATCAGCTACGCTCCAGCCATCGCTAAAGTAGCCGCCCCAGCTTACGCATACGCCGCACCTGCTATTGCCAAAGTTGCCGCTCCAATTGCTTACGCCGCCCCCATCGCCAAAACCATCGTTGCCGAACCGGTCGCTCCACCAAACTACGAATTTGGATACGCCGTCAACGACCCCCACACCGGAGACTCAAAAAGCCAACAAGAAGTCCGTCACGGTGACGCCGTCCAAGGCAGCTATTCCCTCATCGAATCTGATGGCACCAAACGTACCGTTCAGTACACAGCCGATGACCACAACGGCTTCAACGCAATCGTTACAAAGGAACCCATCGCAGTTAAGGCCGTAGCGCCCGCCGTTGCCGTAGCACCCGCCGTAGCGAAAATTGCAGCACCCGCATACGCGTACGCCGCACCAGCCCACGCATACGCCGCACCAGCCCACGCATACGCCGCACCAGCTCACGCTTACGCAGCGCCTGCCTTAAGTTACGCTGCCGCACCAGCCTACGCCAAATTCGCCGCGGCGCCTGCCATTAGTTACGCCGCCCCAGCCATCGCCAAATACGCTGCCGCGCCTGCAATTTCCTACGCGGCCGCCCCCGCCATCGGTTACGGATACGGTGCCCCAATTGCCAAACTTGCCGCTCACGGCTATTATTAAAAGTACCTTTGTTTTTTAGTTATTTGTGTATAAATTTTTGTATATTTATTTAAGGCTGTTTTCGCCAAATACAATTTTACAAACGTGAACACTTTGGTAATTATTAATGCCATGAAAATGAAACACCTTGTTAAGAAGTTATTTCCATTTCGTTCTATTCAAGTTTTGTTATGTTATGGCTATTGTCGATCAGAAAATGAGAACGTCCCAGCTCAACACAAAACGTCAAGTTGGTTATGTCCATCGCTTCTGTTTTTGGGTCTGGGTGGTATACATTGAGAGGATAAATTCTAAAATGGCATTATTTTGGAACTAAATCCTGAAACGATCCTAATTAATAAGTCGCAACTCGTTCGGAAAACTTTGTAATGCTAAAGTTGTCTTCGCCCATTATGCAAATTCAAAAAAATGCTGGTAAAGTTAAAAAAGTGGAAGATTCAAATAATATTGACGATACAAGATATTCGGAATAACAATGGTCTTTATTATACACCATGCGCTCAGCTGTTGCACCCAGTTTGGTGTCGCAACACCCATCGTGCGGGTATCTTTTTCATCCTCGAAAGTTCTATTAAGTAATCCCGCTCTGTGGAAATGGTTATCTCCATCAACTTCGGCGGTTTTTCAACACAACATTCTGAATATCTGACAGATATAGGTTTTTCTTAGGCCAGAAAAATGAAAATGGGAGTGGTGATCACAACATTAATTAGACTTTTAGTTAGATCACCAGTTTCGGACCAATATAATAAATTGTAAGTTCTTGTAGTCCGTAGTATCGAAAAATCACATTAACATTTTTAGTTTCTGATGAAGGTTGCAATGCCAACCGAAATATATAAAATTCATTAAATAACGGTCTTTACATTTTGGCTTACCAGTTACCACCTTAACGCCTACTGGTCTAGGACTTCCCCCATCTTAACCACCTTATACTAGTTACCACGTACCTAGTGCTGAGAGGGATGCATAATATTGATGTCGTCCTGGTACAAAAACTTTAACCTACAAAGGGCTAATACGAGGTCTGGGACTGAAAGGGACGCGGATCATTACTGAACCAATAGAAACCAATCCCAGATCGTGCATTTTAGCTACGAATAGCGTTAAGTTACTACCACTATGGGAATTCTACTACAGAGACCTGGTAGCAGTATCGCTGACAGCGAAAAGGGATGGGGGCGAGATGGGGCTTGTGCTCGTATCCGCATACCGCGACCTTATCCACCACCAAGCATCAACAGAAGAGGTGAGTCTCTCTCTAGATGACACGAATGGCATGTGGCAGAAGAACCCTTCTTATCAGACCATAGATATACAGTGTGTCCCAGATCGGGTGGGATTGCATGGGTAACTTTCTTATTATTAAAGATAGAGAATTGGTTAAATGGACAATGTTTTGCAGTTTTAGATGCTTATTTAAAATTTCCTTGTGGAAATTCAAAATGTCGAATAGGTTCGACGTAAATTCAAAAAAACTAAAATTGGTCATTTCCTTTAATGTCTTATATCATCGAAAGTACAAGAGATATAAAAAAAAGTTTTATATAAAAGTTACTGTCTTTGATACGCCTAATTTAGAATTGATGTCAAAAAAAAATTTAAGATGGCTACCTTTGAGGAACATTTACCAACTTCCTAAAGTTAAATAGGCGCCATATTGGATTTTTAGATTATTTGATAGATTTTTTAATTCTCTTTTCAACGAGCTATCATAGCATAAGATTGAAAATAAGATACCAGTTATATCAACGGTTTTTATATTTTAATCAAGTAGGCTATGGTGAATTAAAAAAAAAACAAAGCAAAATCTATTCGAGGCAACAAAACTATGAAAATAATTACATCAGATGTTGAAAATATCAGGGGCGCAGTCATGGGAGGGGGGTTTGGGCGTTACTCCCTCCAAAATTTTACATAAGTAGTCGTAGAAAAATTTTGACTTTTATGTCGTCACTTATTGACTATCATATTATCCATACTTACCTACATACCTACAAAATGCTGGTAGGTATAACTACAAACTATCCCCTCGAAAAAATGCCTTGCCATTATCCAAACACATTTCAAGACAATTCGATTTAATTTATACAATGTATTACCATTGATGCATTGTCCGAGGTCACATTTTGTAGGTGGTTTATCCGTAAGAATATCGAAACTAACAGTTTTACCAGTTCATGTATATGAATAGGTAATAATAACACAACTGCGCGAAGCCGTTCTAAAGGCGTGTTATAGTGTCAATGGCAACACGTTGTCTAAAGTAAACTGTCTTGAAGTGTGTTTACTAATAATGGCCAGTATTTTAAACACGTCATGTGATTGTTTTCATTGTTGTGTTGCCTCGATTAGTTTTTGTTTTGTTTTTTTTTAAATTCATCATAGCCTACTTGATTAAAATATAAAAACCGTTGATATAACTGGTATCTTATTTCCAATCTTATGCTATGATAGCTCGTTGAAAAGAGAATAAAAAATCTATCAAATAATGTAAAAATCCAATATGGCACCTATTTAAGTTTAGGAAGTTGGTAAATGTTCCTCAAAAGTAGCCATCTTGAATTTTGTTTTGATATCAATTCTAAATTAAGTGTATCAAAGACAGTAACTTTTATATAAAACTTTTTTTATATCTCTTGTACTTTCGATGATATAAGACATTAAAGAAAATGACCAATTTTAGTTTTTTTGAATTTACGTCGAACCTATTCGACATTTTGAATTTCCACAAGGAAATTTTAAATAAGCATCTAAAACTGCAAAACATTGTCCATTTAACCAATTCTCTATCTTTAATAAAAAGAAAGTTACCCATGCAATGCCACCCGATCTGGGACACACTGTATACTTTATTGGAAAACCTTATATGTTTGTATAGGAAGATCCATTCACTTAGCTACCCATTAGCCCAAAAATTAAAACAAATTTTTTTGTATCTACAATCTACTTTGCCTTTTTGGGTGCTCCCAACAAAGTCTCGAATGAGGTTTGTTTTTAAAACCAAGATTAGGGTAAATAAATCTATGGTGATGATGCAGCCTGTAAATGAAATTGCGTCCCTATGTCTTGCTGCTGTTAGTTGTTTAATTCGTTATTTAATTAAGAAAAAAGTCAAGAACGTATATGACTACTAATGAAAAGAGGAAAAAGTACACTATCACTTTTAAATCAAGAATTAAAACTTAAAGATCCAGAAAGATCAATGTGAATTCTTTTTGCTGAATAATTTCTTGAACTTACCTTGCCTTCTTTTTATACTTCTGTTTCTTTCTGGACCGTTTATTAGCAGAGTCATTACTAAAGGAGGTAGTAGAATCGCTGGAATCTTCGCTACTGCTACTCGATGAAGCGTTTGACGAACAGCATCTTTGGCAACATTTCTTTTTAATCTTTGATCGCCTCTCTTTTGATTGTCGCTTTCGCTTAAATCGTACCTTAAGAGGTAGAACTGGTTTGCGATAAGCTTCACTACTGCTGCTTAAATCGCTACTCACACTCGTTGGGGGATCGAGCGTCCTAACATCCTCGTTCGTATCAGAATCGAGCAGAATCACTTCGGGCGCCGGCGGTTCCCCGATAATTACGTCGGAATCGTGACTGCTGTCAGAGTTGATCTCAATAACTTCAATGGTCGGCCTTCGGAATGGATTGTTGTTGACTGTAATCGGTTCCGGTACGTTCACTATAGCTACATCACTATCATCCTCTTGGTCCGAGATTGAGTATGTGGGCGAAGTCGGTCGGTTTGAGTAAACAATGTGGCGATCGTATCCGATCATGTCAAATGGTGATCGCATGAAATTGTAAAACTCGTGGATAAAATGGTCGGTTTTGTTGGTTAGGTAGGTTTCCAACAGGCGCTTGAACGCTCTGCTTCTGATGTGCCATCGCGGTAAATGGTCCATTATTACGTCCACTAAGTGCATCACCTGCTGTGTGTTTTCACGAAGTAAGGCGTTTAATTCTCTATTCAACCATGGAACAAGTCGATTTCTGGAGGCAGGATTGTCGCTGAAAGAAGAAATCATACAAATAGTCGCCTTGTCGTGAAACTTGCAATTTCATAGCAACTGACGATATTTATTTACATGCAATCGTCCTCCTAGGACATATAGGGTGGTTCAAATTCATGGGTACCATTGGGACCTCTGTAACTGTGAGGGATACAGGGGTTCAGTGGAAGACCATGAAAATTTTTTTTTTCGTGAATTTCGCCCTTTGGTATAACAATGTAACATGTGATTTTTTAATTTGTCAGTTTTTATAATTTGGTGGGTGTTTGTAGGGGCCCTTAATTTCATGTGTTAGGTAAATAGATAATAAACGTGTCACAGTCAAATAAAACCGGGACGTATTCTATCTTTGGTTGAGTGGCACAGTTTCATTTGGGATATAATCTCATACAATACAAGACAACTATATATTTCACATTGTGCCTCGAAACAGTTCCGTGGCATTTTAAATTTTTATTATTATAATTAATTATAATTAAATACAAACCTAAAAAATTGAGGGGTAGCTTCTCTGTAACGTCCTGTAACATCCGGTGGAGCATACACCCACATATTGGTCATGTACACGGACCTTCGGAAGCTGGTAGCAGAACTCGCCCGGCGAGCATGTCGCAACCTGCCAAACCGACTGAAATTTCTCGCCAATTAAATGACCACATTTCTATCGCAATTAATTACCTTGTGTGTCTTGGCAAAATGTAATTGTCGGGAAAGTTATACATGCTGTTCGTGAGCGGATGAGAGAGTAACATTTGCTGAATGGCAAGTTCGCCTCCTTGGTCAACGGTAAAGGTGGTCCTGCAGTTTGCGTTTACGTTAACATATCAATTATTGTGGTCATTTACCTGAACTGAAAGTGGCGAGAGGGTGAACGGGGCAAGAAGTAATTTTCGATGTTGTGGAACCCCCTGCCTCCTTGAAACGGGTCGTTGACAATAACATGTTCATCGTATTCGTCGTTGGATTTAATATTATAAATTATGGACTTAAACGGTTGTTTACATAACGGACACTCAGCTTTGACCTAAAAGCGCACAGTTAGAAATGCACCATTTTGCTAGCGCTCGTACCTTCGACCACTCTAGTAGGCAGGTGAAACAGAACTGATGTCGACAGGAGTCCGAGAAGCACTTATTGTTGCAGGTACCGAGACAAATTGCGCACTTTGGCGGTGGACTTCCGGCCGATTGTCGCGGCGGAGGCGAAGGAGACGATAATTCGTTCATTTTAAGAAAGTTGCCCCTACAAAAATGAACATAAAGCTTGCCAATGGAGACACTTTTAAACAATTACCAAATAATGGAGCACTATTGATTACAACTAAATATTTTTCGTCACTTTTTTGTTGCTCAAATTATCAAAACACAGCGCACAAACTAAACTGGTTGTTAAGTTCCAGGCTGATGAATAGACGTAAATGACAAGCGGCCATTTTGATATTTAAAAAACTTTCAAGTTTTAAACAGTGGTACCAATTCCTTCCCTCCCCCATACAATATATATACAGGGTCGCCCATATGTACAGGAACCATAGAATACCATGTATCAAAACTTCGACCTTGATATTACTTTTCTCGTGTGTCCTAGTAAACGAACAAAGTATCTTTCCTCATTTTTACCTAATACTTCCCATATATTGCGTAAATACTACTCACTTATTTTCCCCAACTTCTCATTTACTAGGCATTGAATTATATGGAGATTATTCTGTACCAAAGGCGAATTTTCGTAAGTGAAGTGGGGGTGTCTTCGGAAACCTTAAATTTTCCTTTTCCTATCACGCCTTGGGTCCCAATATGCAAGATTCAAATGTTCAAAAACCCAAAAAAAAAGGATTTTCCGGAAGTGAAATTCTGGTTTGGTCTGGTCCTTTTAACTGTACGAGTATATCTACCGTTCTCCGGAATTCTATACGAGCAGCTGTTTCCATTACATGAATAATCCAGACTCTGAGATCCAACAGCCTTTATTACTAATTCTTGATGAAAGAATAATTTCAAGCACAATGCTCACATTAGGAGAGACCAAAACCTAAAATTTGTCATCTGGTTTCAGGATGAGCATACACGAAAATGTAGGTAAATCAGACTACCTTCCGTTATCGACTGCCAAGAAAAAAATTGAAGTCAAAATTAGTACATTTCAGGATGTACCTTTTGTGGTGTTTGCTAGCCTAAATTTAATGCACCAATTTTTGAAACAAAATGCAAGTTAGCAGGTTCACAATAATATATTATTTGTCAATGAATACCGTCGACTACAATTTTCACCACAGACTGAACAAACGTTCTATTTTGTCAATGTTCTTATATGCCCCAGTCCCCCCTATATATCATAATCGAAACACCAATCACATGCACGTATACCATTGACAAAAAGAGTACCTACCTTTCACTAGTCCTCATATTCATTACTCCATGTTACCATACTTGTTACCTAAAATAGAACATGAGATTCCTTATTCCCCCAACATTTTGAGAGGTAAAATGGTCAATTCCTCAGGGTTGGTAAATTCCCAATTGAGAAAGTAACAACAAAAACAAAACTTTAGGCTGCTAAATGCTGCAGAAACAGATTTAATCTTTTAGAAAAAATTTATTAGCAAGTGACGTTCTTCGAGCAAAATATGTATTTACAGCTTTTGTTTGTTGTACTTGTTACGGGATCGTTTTTATTCTTCAATTTTTGAATCAATATCAAATAATATAATATCAAATTAACATCAAGAGACATAAAAAGCTTCCATAATCGATAAAAATCATCCTTAGTGTGATATTACTACAAAATGTAAAGCACAAACACACACACTCATACAAAACACATTGCTTTTAAAGCGTTTCAGAGTAATAATAACACAAATTTGGGAGAAAGAAATACAATTTCGTCGTTCACTTCATTCAAATCTATCAAATAAATTTTGAATATACATCCTACCATAAATATGTCACACTATTGAATACAACAATAACTAACACTGCATAAAAAATTTATACTTTCGTTCTCGCTCATTCTTTATGTAATGTTAATTTACCTAAAAGTGAATAATTAAATATATTATTTTATCAACTGTACAATTCATGTTGTAATTAATTTACATATAATAGCAGCTATTGAATTACTATTCATCAAGAAAAAAGCATCACAAAGACTAGTACTGTAGGTACACAACTGTGCATGTTACTGAATGTTTGAGAACCAGTTTTCGCAATATATAAAATTCACTTATAAAGTACGTAGTGATGTAGATTAGTTCAATCTAATAGAATATCCATACACTAACTTTGCACTACTCGTTTGTACATTGACTAAATAAGCCACTCTTTACTATTTAGTCAACTGCGAACTATGTACAAGGGCGCTCTTTGAATTGTTTAAAACTTAAGGGAGCGAGGTTTTAAGCCGTTGCTCCTAAGGTAACGATGTGCTTTTTCCGTTAAATCTAGCTGATCTTGAGTACCGCCACATGCTACCATTGTCCATTTCACGTCAATCTGAAAAGTAAATAAGATGTAAAAAACTGTACCTTTGCGATTTTCAATACAATCGTTTACTTGTGACCCACCTTTGTGCACCCTATGCTGGCCGCAACTAAGTGCGTGTGACCGAGAGTAGTAGGTGGGCATAGACTTACATTCGCATGCCGGCTCATTTTAATCATAATTAATGCAAAATTCAACAAATACAAACATAAAGTTAGAGGTACTTCACTAAAGCATAACAAAATGATATTTCATCGTTACTGGTACACAAAATTCGGTTGTCATTATTTAGCAATTGTTATAAATAATATTGGAAGTCCTTTTTCTCATCAGATTTTATTTCATGTGCCTTTTTGTAAGCAATAGCTTTAGATCATATAGCCACTAAATCTGTGGCAACATGTGTGAGAGATAGTCAGCAGTAGAATATCAATCATACGCACTGCGTTGTCAGTACAAAATTCACATTCCTCATATTTCAGTGGCGTGTTACACAATCTGGAAAAAGTTTACACAGACATGAAAAAAAGCTTATAGAAAGATTTACAGGGTGTTCTATTAATAAACGTTGGCCATATCTATGGAACTGTTAACTGCACCGCTTGGGGAAAAAGATTTTAACAAAAGAGGCCAAGAGAAATCGCTGGAAATTATTTTCCAAGTTTCTAGGTTTACCGCTAGAGGGCGTACGATTCATGGTTAAGTAGAAAAATGGTTTTTTGCCTAAATGATACCCCACAATAATTCATAAGAAAAAAAAACATGCATCGCAATCTCTTACGAATTTTGCATTATTTTGATGCACGACATATTGCTCTAGCTCATAAAATATGAGGGTGGAGAAGAAATCACCCTGACAGACAAGATTTAAAAACGCTGTGAACAGATAAAATGTCATAAAAGATAATCAAAGATAATGGAGAAGTCAGACGATTTTACTGTCTTACAGTAGAATATCACTTTGAATTGGAAGTTAAAAAAAACTGACAAAAAATAAAACAGGAAATGTAAAATAATAAAAAAGAAAGAAATGTTTTGTTAGAAAGCAAATAGGTTTAAATTAAAGTGCGATAAATAAAAAATAGAGATTATAAGTAACTTGTTTTACCCAACCCTTTTAAAATTGTCATGGTTTATCAATCCTTGGTAAATAAGTTTTGCAAAATTCAGATTAAAAACACATTGATAATAATTCAAATGTCAAATTTTTAAATTGTTTTTAGCATCAGTCAGTGTACCTTGTTTCGGTAAATTGAAGTTTTCAAATTCCACTGCTCAAATTTTCCCTATTGAAAGTCAGTACAACTTTGTTACACCATTATAAAGCAATTTTAGTACTTACACTCAAATACTATTCAGATCATGAGGGCTCAACTAACAGTATTTAAGGGTGTCCAAAGTACCCCAGTGATGAGTTTATAATGGGCATTATGATCAGTGAACCACTAACAATTCTGTTTTGAGAGTAAGAGAAACATTCCCAAGTTAATTGCAATGACTTTATGCAACTAAGAGGATTAACTAATGGCACATTAGATGGAAAAGAAATTTTATTTACAAAATGTTGACCAAAACCAATCTTAAAAAATAACAATGCCGAAATAACAAACGGATAAATAGCAAAACATAAATGTTAGTAAATAGCAAATAAAATAAAAAAACATAATATACCTTACAGTTTGTGCAATAGGCTAGACAGGTCTCACCTTAGGAGGTTGAGGTGAATCAGGCTCCCCGAAGGTGATACGTTTGACTGCAGCACTACGCTGACCATGGACTCGGGATTGGGCATTGTCTGGATGCAGTCGCTGCCGGGACAAGGATATAAAGCTACAATACCCAAACATACACCCACACGCTACATACCAAGCCTAGCCTATGTGTAATACAAAAGCGACAATTGCGGAACTTAAAAACGATTAAATTACGTTATTCCGAATTGTCGCCCCTTGCAGGAAAGAGCACCAGTGTGGACAACCTTAAAGCTAACCTACGAACGATATAGTTTCAAAATAAATTATTCAGGTGCAACAATAAAACTACAAATTTAAAACAGTGCGTATCTACATATAAAATAATAAAAAAAATAACAGAAATTTTTGGTAACACTGACTGTGTACGCTTTGCATTTGATAGTCAATCATTCAACAACACAAATAACAAACAATAAACATGCACTGTAAGAATATTTAAAAATTAGTTTAAGTGCTGCATGTAATCGAGTGAATTACATTTAGTGTTCGCTTGCCCTAAAAATACTAAACCTAACTAAAAAGTAGTAAGAAAAATGCGAAGAATACTTGCGATCGTAATGACATGGCACAAGCGCTTGTAACGGATGTCGGTTTTGGGAAATATCCTTTGGTTATTGATCAGTAACTTACAGTCAAGGACTAGAGGAAAGAGGAGGTACACGGGAATTTTTTTCTTTAGTGTTTTACACATGCAATTTTTAAAATAAATCGATATATACAAATGAAAATTATTTTCAAAAATATTCGCCCTTTTTCATTACAAACAACTAAATTTCTGAGAACACTAACTCAAAATTAATATACAAAATTAACATTAATTGTAAAAAAAAACACTGTACATCTTAAATTAAAAGCGTCTCTAAAAGAACTGCTAGCTTCATGTATTAATTTTACTTTATCAAGCACCCCAAACTCATTTATGGCAAACATTATTAGTAAATCACGTTAATCCCTTTACGATTAAAGTGACAGTGTTAATTAATCAAATCAAAATGTCTGATAAGTAAAACCACTTTCAGAATAAGGAAGTTAGAAAAAAGAAGAAATTCAAACATGCTTCATTAAACAAACTCAAGCATAGAAAAAGACCTAAACCAATACAAAAACCCTACGGTAAAACTTTGTACGGGATACTGAAGTAGGAGACAGGGTGGGTGTATGGATAAAAAGGAATTAAATATGATCGCCGAAATGAAACCAATCCAATACCTTGGAGGATCCTGACTGACTCATCTCCATGATTCCGGCTACACCCACCAAGGAATCTTTCATTATTGAGGAGGGAGTCGAAAATAATATATCTTCGCCCAATGACTTACTCTGGAAGTTAAACGCAAAATTACAAATATACATTTCATCAAAATAGATCAACGTTCTACAACTACTAGGAGATCTACAATTTTATTACCGGAGTTTCGATAGCAAATGAGAGATCGGAGGAGTTAATGCTGGTCGAACTCCATGAAGGTGCCAGCGCCTTACGAACTCTCTTGTTTGGTAAAATATTCTCTTTCCCTGCCGCGATTAAGGGGACGTTTTTCCTCTTCACCGTTTGATAACCACTATCGTTCTGTAACAAGACGGTCATTCAGTCAGCAAACACTACCGCCTATAAACAATTACAGACACAGTAAAGAAGAAAGTAGAAATAAAAACACAAAACAACTGAGGGAAGAGATCTACAAATAGTACGGATACACGTTTGATGAAGAACGCAAATTCATTTTCTCCACATTGTCATTTATCTTTATTATTGTTACTATTTCGCATTTTCATTCGGTACTTTATACATACCTTGGTAGAAACATTCAAGTTTTAAATTTCTGTTCCCGAACTCAGAGCAGTCAAGTGATTATTAACGTAAATTTCATACTCCCCTCCCCCGCCCACACGTTCTTGGGCAATCTAAATTCTCGCACTCAAGTGCAGATAAGCAAGTAAATACGCATGTCTACTAAGAGAAGTGGTTTTACAATGGACACATTTTCATTAAACTAGCAGTATTCGAGACGCTCCTCATGATAAAAATGTTAGAACAACTTTACCAACCACCGTGGAAAGGAAGCCCCAGTGCATAAACCCCCGCCAAATCAAAAATTAAGACACAATAAAATGGAAAATCAGGTAAACTCGCACACTCTGAAGGCTGGAAATAAAAAAATCCTACATTCTGGTACACAGAGGCTGATTAGTTGCTTATAATTTCTGTAGCAGTGAAGGGCTGAAGGTTATTACCAAAAATGTACATTTACTCTGTAACGAAAATGAAACTGGAGTACTAGATTCTACGGTATCAATATAGTTGAGAGATTTTATGACAATCCATCACATTTCAGAGAAATCAGGATTAGGTTTTTATTCTTGTAATGTTTGATGTGTGTCTCTTAACATTTTTGCCGTGAATGAGGCAGTCACGGGGGTAGTAAACAACTGTAACCGCATCAGTTAAGACACCTAACGCCGGGACTGAACTATAGGTTGGGAAATAAAGCACGAGGACCCAATGTTACCTGTTGCAGAGGTCAGAATCTGCTAGCGCAAAAACTCTCTGGTTTTGCATCTATGTACCATATTTTTTGCACCTCTTGTAGTTTCAAAAGTTGAATTTTCCCTCCAAGGTAATGTAATTTTTCCATGTTGCTTTTAAAAAGAGAGTTTAATTGCGCCTAAGAAGAGTCACCTTTTTTTTGATACCTGCTTGTACACCAACCAATTCCTTTGTCTTGCAATTTGCGTAAAACCTGTATTTGCCATCATCTTTCACCTTTTTTTTGATACCTGCTTGTACACCAACCAATTCCTTTGTCTTGCAATTTGCGTAAAACCTGTATTTGCCATCATCTTTTGTACATATGTAATTCTTACATATTATCAATCAATTGCAACAAATCATCGTATAACATTGACTATTAAAATAATTCATTAAAATCCAGAGACTAATTTTTTTTATATTTTTAGCCTTAATCTCAG